AACATCCTTTCTATTTCAATTTCGTTTCTAATATATTTGGTTAAATATATATTTTTTTAAATGTCAGAATTGAAAAATTATTCTCATTCGTAGCCCCTATCACGCTAAAATTAAATGGGTTTATGAGGAGCCAAGTAGTTTCCAGTAATGTAAAACTGCATTTGAATCCTAGTTATATTTTTCTTGTTCTATCCGTAAGACGAATGTCGACATAAATTCTTGGTCGAGAGGGCCATATGAACTACATCATTTCAAGGTCACAATGATGTTTATATACATTTCAAATTTCTCCCAATCCAGGGACCGAAATTGATGGCCATATATACACTCAAGATTCATGTTATCTTTTTTATGTACGATGAAAGCGAACTAATTTGGCCAAAATGCTTTTAGAAACCCTATGATATAAAAGGTTGATGATGCGATATTATGTATAATTTCTTTTGATCTTTAATCATTATAGTTTTCCCTTGTATTTTCTTCCTTGATCCATATATCATATCTATTAAGTATAATTTATGGTAAGCAACTACTAAATTGAGAAGAAATCATATACATATACATCAAACAAAAATATTAAACGTAAAGATACCGAAAAAAACGAAACTTTTCATTGAGAATGTAGTCAAACATCAAAAGAATCCATTATTCATTATAATATTCATTGTCTCTATCAAACGAGATGTTTTACAAAGTGATAAATGAGTGGCGAGCGAACTAAACAATTTGGTAGAATGTTTCGCTACATAATTATGATTGCATTGACAAACTACCTTTTACCAAAGAGGAGATCTGATATACATGACCACTGACAAACCAATTAGAAAACAAATGTGGTGAATATATTTTTGTGCAAGCACCAACATAACCGCAAAGGTATAAGAAAAATATATCAAAATTTATAACGAACGTGCCACAAGAGTACAGAGAAAGTGTCAAAAAAATAGAGAAAAGTATGTCACAAGGACAAAGATTTTTATTTATAATTAAAAAACTCAAGAAAAAAATAAAAATATAATATAAAAAATAATAATCATTGATGTTCGACAACGAATATTAAGATTAATATTGTTATCGACAAAACAAAAATAAAAAATAATAACAAAAAAATATCAGAGAAAAGCTTAGGGGAAAAACCCAAATATTCTTGACGTGGCGTACTATAATTATATTAATGGTATAAAATTCTAACTGTCATGTAGTATACTATAATATAATGTAATGCTGTCACATGGTATTTAAAAAAAATTATTTTAAAATATTAAAAAATAAAAAATATATTAATTTAAAAAATAATTTTTTATTTAAAAATTTAAAAGTTATTAAATACCTTTTTGAGTTTGAGAACTTAAAGAAGTGTAAAAAACGTTATGGGGCTTAACAATTTTGGGTAAAGTGTGTATATAGTCCCCCAAAACTCTTAGGGTTTTTCTATTTTGGTCACTCAATCTTTGAAACTTACAATATAGTTATCGAACTTTAGTTCATTTTCAATAAGGTCCATGCCATACATCTGTTAGTTTTTGCTGTCACATGGTATTTCAAAAAATAATAATTTTTATTTTAAAATATTAAAAAAATATTGTTTTAAAAAATTAATTTTTTTAAAAAAAATTTAAAAGTTATTAAATACCTTTTTGAGTTTGAGAACTTAAAGAAGTGTAAAAAAATTATTGGGCTTAATAAATTTTGGGTAAAGTACATAAATAATCCCTCTTAGGGTATTTTTCATTTTAGTCACCCAATTTTTGAAACTTATAATATAGTCATCAAACTTTTAGTTCACTTTCAGTAAAATCCATGCCATACCTCTATTAGTTTTTGCAGTCATATAGTATTTCAAAAAAAAATATTTTAAAATATGAAAAATGAAAAATACTAATTTTTTTTAAAAAATAAATTTTTTATTTAAAAGTTTAAAAGTTATTAAATACCGTTTTGAGTTTGAAAACTTAATGAAGTGTAAAAAACATTATGGGGCTTAACAAATTTTGAGTAAAGTATATAAATAGTTCCTAAACTATTAGGGTATTTTCATTTTGGTCACTCAATTTTTGAAACTTACAATACAGTCATCGAACTTTTAATTCGTTCAGTAGGGTCTATGTCGTACCTCTGTTAGTTTTTGCTGTCACATGGTATTTCAAATAAAAAAATATTTTAAATATTAAAAATTTAAAAAAATTATTTTAAAAAATGGGTTTTATTTAAAATTTTAAAAGTTATTAAATATCTTTTTGAGTTTGAGAACTTATGGATAAAATATACAAATAGTCCCCAAACTCTTAGGGTATTTTCATTTTGGTCGCTCAATTTTTAAAACTTACAATATAGTTATCAAACTTTTAGTTCGTTTTCAGTAAGGATCATCCCATACCTCTGTTAGTTTTTGCTTTCACTTTTCAAAAAAAATATTTTAAAATATTAAAAAATTTATAAAAATTTAATTTTTATTTAAAATTTTAAAAGTTATTAAATACCTTTTTGAGTTTGAGAATCTAAAGAAGTGTAAAAAATATTATGGGGATTAACAATTTTGGGTAAAGTATATAAATAGTCCTCAAACTATTAGGGTATCTTCATTTTGGTCACTTAATTTTTGAAACTTATAATATAATCATCGAACTTTTAGTTTGTTTTTTGTAAGGTCCATGCCATACCTTTGTTAGTTTTTGCTGTCACATGGAATTTCAAAAAAATATTTTAAAATATTAATAAATAAATGATATTGTTTTAAAAAAATAATTTTTATTTAAAAATTTAAAAGTTATTAAATACCTTTTTGAGTTTGAGAACTTAAAGAAGCGTTAAAAACATTATGGGGCTTAACAATTTTTGGGTAAAGTATATAAATAGTACCCAAACTATTAGGGTATTTTCATTTTAATTACTCAGTTTTTGAAACTTACAATATAGTCATCAAACATTTATTTCGTTTTTAGTAAGGTCCATAATAAACATCTGTTAGTTTTGCTATCACATGGTATTTCAAAATAAAATTTTGATTTAAAATATTAAAAAATATTTTTTATAAAAATTAATTTTTTATTTACAAATTTAAAAGTTATTAAATACCTTTTTGAGTTTGAGAACTTAAAGAAGTGTTAAAAACATACGGGGCTTAACAAATTTTGGGTAAAGTATATAAATAGTCCCCCAAAGTATTAGGACATTTTCATTTTGATCATCAATTTTTGACACTTATAATATAGTCATCGAACTTTTAGTTCATATTCAATAAAGTCCATGCCATACCTATGTTAGTTTTTGCTGTCACATGGTATTTCAAAAAAAAATATTTTTTTAAAAAATATTAAAAAATAAAAATATTATTTTAAAAGAATTAATTTTAAAGAAATTAAAATTTATTAAATACCTTTTTGAGTTTGAGAACTTAATGAAATGTAAAAAACATTATGGGGCTTAACAATATTTGGGTAAAGTATATAAATAGTCCCCAAACTCTTAAGGTATTTTCATTTTGGTAACTCATTTTTTGAAACTTACAATATAGTCATCAAACTTTTAGTTTGTTTTTAGTAAGGTCCATGACATACCTATGTTAGATTTTGCTGTCACATGGCATTTCAAAAAAAATTATTTTAAAATAAAAAAAATATTATTTTTAAAAAATAAATTTTTTATTTAAAAATTATTAAATATCTTTTTGAGTTTGAGACTTTAAAGAAGTGTAAAAAACATTAATCAATGTGATATCCAAGATTTAACTGTAACATTTGAGGGAAATATAAGAAATTACAAATGCACTCACAATTAATCCAGACGAGTGAAGCTCGTCTAGTGCGCGTGGTCGTTTCCTTTGTTGTTTTGCCAATAATTCGCTTGTACATGCAAGCTCTACAGGTTAAATTTGTTGTTTTCGATCAGGAGTAGCCAACGCCTGAGGTAATTTTTTAAAAGAAGGTTTGAGGATGAAGACGATTGTTTTAATTTTTAAGGAAGATCTTGATTGATTCTGCCGATCATAAGATTTGTTCATACGTACTGCACCAATTATTGATGATAATAAGATGGTCTCGTTGATCATTGGCGATTTGCTCCTTCTAGTTTGAACGGAGAGTCACGGTTGATAAGAAAATGATCGTTGGGTGATGTTTAGATGAAACGAAAAGTTGATCATGGAAGATGAAGAAGAGATATAAGGTTCATGATGGTTCCATTTGCTTTTACTGTCTTGATCACAAATATATATAGCGACCTTTAGAGCATATTTCACTCTTAAGGTTATCATGACCTTTTGTAGGTCGATAGGTTAAATAGATTTAGTAATTACATCTTAAATTTCATTTTAGTAAATCACGTGAAATTGTCATGTCTTATCTACGCATTACAATCGATTCAAAGATATATTCCCAAGATATGAGAACTCTTTCGGAGCTCCAATAAACGAGAGATTTGTACGATGACATTGACCGATGATGTGCTGACGATTTCAATGAATTTAATCTAATGGAAGTTTATAAATGAAAACTCATTTTTTGATAATTTTATCTAAATACCCTTATTTTTTTACCTAAGTACTCTTTTTTTATTATAAATAAAAACTCCCTTCTTCATTTTCAACTCACTCATTTCTTCATTTTTCTTTTTCTTTTATATTTTCTCTTCAAAAATATAATAATTTATATTTTCTCTCTTCACAAATATAGTAAAATAAATCTTAGAATAAAATTCATTTTCTGAAATTATAACAATTCCAACAAAATTACGTCTAAGATAGTGACCACATGACACAATAGTATTATTTAATCTTCTTTCATTCATTTATTTATTTATTTGTTCAATCGGTGATCTTTTATTTTACAATGAATTATTTGTCCAACACAACCTCACATCTAAATTAATTGAACTGTTTGAAATAAGATATAATTGATAACTATTGAATTTAAGCATATACAACAATTTCTCTATCTCAGAGGTACTGCCACCTTTTTTATTAAAAAAAAGTGTAAAATTGCGATACAAAAACATGTCACGTCCTATACAATTTTGCTCTTTATTTCATAACCTTCAAACTGGGAAACTTTGTTAGCTTACAGGATTTGATTCTTTGTAATGACAACGTGGCCCAACCTTTTACATAGAAAAAAAAGAGAGAGTAACAAATCATTTTTCTCATACTTTCTTCATTGATTCGTAGAGAAGCGAAGCAAAATCATAGAACTTGATTAAGCACTGCCTTCTTAATATTTAAGCACTTGCAGTTGGCGCGATTGTCACTCAGAGTCTGCAAAACAGCATTATTGTAAGTGTAAAGCGAATAGCAAAAGTATGGTGATTCGAGGTGATACAGAACGAAACCAAGATATCAGCCTATACGAAAGATAAATAATACTTTTTTGATGCTTAAATTTATTTGCGATCCACGAGGAACTGTACGAGGTAGGTAAAAATTCAATAAACACTCGAATCGAATAGACTATATTCTAGTTCGAATAATTGAGGCACAATCAAGATATGATTTTTGAGTTGGAATTTGTGACCTCAGCCAATAATGCTTATGATTTTTCTAATTTATTCTCTAACAAAACGTGTGAGGAACTTTTTTTGAGAATAGAGTTGTAGGTGAGACGAGACAAATCGTAAGCTACTCGAATTTGTTTCTGTTAAAATTCAATAAACACTCGAATCGAATAGACTATATTCTAGTTCGAACTTTACTCAAATTCTTAACAAGTCAAAAGAACTACTTTATACTCAACTCGAAAAACTCGTGAAAAACTCAAAAAATAATATATCAAAATTTTAATTTTTAAATTAATAACAATATTAACACATTTTTTTAATACGATTTAAGGTTTCAATATTCTTAAAGTTCAAGTTTGAATTCGAGTTTAAATTTAAACTGAACTCAATTTTGAGCTTCGACTGAACTGAGTCCGAGAATCTTTCAAGTTCAAATTTTTTCGAGCTCGAATCAAGCTTCAATTTTTTATTTCGATTTGAGTATGGAAATCTTAGGCTCATGATCTTTTGAGTAGGGTCGAGCTTCAATTTTTTATTTCGAGTTCAAGTCGAACTTGAAAACTTCAAACTCGCGAGATTTCGAGTCAAGTCGAGTTCAGTAATACTTGAGCTCGATTACACTCGTTCACATCCCTATTTGAAATGCAAAATATAATTAATTATAGAAAATTGTGGTCGAGGTTGTCCTCTATTACGTACCTTGAACTGTTTTTGAAGCTCCTTGATGTACTCCACTGCCAAGTCTAACATGTCTGCTGTGTTTGTTTGCTGCCCCATGAAAACCCCAAAACATGCCGTGTTAAATTTAACAGACTTAAGGAGACAGATGATTTCAGAACTGAATGTACACATTTAGAAAAACATCATCTTACCTTGTCCATGTTTGGGACAAGCTCTTGAAGCTTTCTCATCCGTTCACTGATACGGGTTCTTCTCACCTGAAAAAAGCAATTTACCCTTTATGAAACCTCCGAATTATGTACAAATAAACAACATAAGCTGCAAAAATCTATTACCCTTTCTGCAATGCTTCGAGGATGAGTAGCACAACCACGCTTAGCTCTAATCTTACAAGGGACTGAATCTTGAAAATGTAGATACTTCTCCACCGCAGCCATCTCATTTGAAGTCTTTGGTAGACTCAAATGGTGCGATAATACATGAACACCACTTCCACCATCTCCATTCTATTGATCAAAACAACCACTCATTAATATATAATCTATGTTTGTTGAGTTATCTTGATCATCGAAATGCGACTTAATCATACCTTGTTAGTGGAAAAGAACTCGTGGTCGTTTTCTCGCGACCTTTTCAAGCCGGAGAAATTCTGCGTTAGTTGTGCGGTGTTCCAAGAACCGTCGTCGAAGCTATTAGCCCCGATGCTGTCATTGCCGATTTCGGATATCTGCGACAACCTGCTCAGTGAAGAAGGTTGTCTTGCTGTGAAGCTAATATGATTCTTCAATCTGTTGGAAGATGGACTTAATTCCCCAGTAGTACCATTCACCCCACTGTAGTTTCCCAAACCTTTCATGCTGACATAGCCTGCAATTCATTCAATTAACACAATTTCAGCTAACTTTGGCCAAACCAATGGATTCAGCATACAGCCTCTAAACATTCAGGTTCTGTAGTTTAATTTACAAAAAATCCTAAAGATTATCAGCTTTTCAGATCCTATTTTTCAACACTGAATCTGTTCAGCAATAGCACAAACAAAACTTCCATGTTTGAATGGGTCATTATCTAACTTTTAAGTATCTTCTTTGCTCGTTTTAAAATTCATATTTAGGGTTTGTGATAATTCCTTCTACCAACAACATAATATCTGTTAAACATTTTTTTTCAAATCATTGACAACGTTGTCGATCTTACAAATTCAACTACTTAAACCAAAACATGTTAAAAGAGCAACACTCTTTCACACCACTAAGGTAATGGATTTCATTTTTTTATTAAATACACCAAAAAAATATAATTTTATTTTTTCCATCTTTTCCAATTTTACCAAACAAATCCTAAATGCTAGGGGGAACCATTTACCAAAATAGGACACTGAAAAAGTCCAAAAAACTTACCAAACAAAGCAATAGCCAAAATAAAGTGATAATCATAAATAAGAACAAGAAAATAGTAGTACCATTTTGAACAGATAAGTTGGTAAAAAGCCCTGGCGGCGAGCTGCTTTGCCTTACTAGGCTAGAAGTATCAGGTTTCCCTCGACTCTGCTGATCCATTCCCAATAAGTCGTATGAGCTATCCATAGCAGAGCTGTGCCTCGGATACTGAGGCAGCAAACCTGAAAAGCTCGGCGTCGAACTTGCATAGCTAACAGCCGACTCTGATCCAGATTTATCCTCGATTTCACCGTTTCCGCCGCCGCCGCTTGAATTCATGAATCTGGATATATCAAAACCGCCTTTGTTGACTCCGCAATCAACTGTATCGGTGAAATTAGAGAGAAGAGAGCTTGGAGCAGAACGAAAACGCAATAACTCAGGATTAGATTGGTTGTTTTGGTTTTGATAGCTTTGATGGTTACTTGAATCCATTGAAACTTCACCTATTCTACCCTGTTTTTACCCTGTTTTTCTTCTGCTACGTTGCGCTGAGAACTTTTAAGCTAGAAAACTATTCTACGTATCCTTTAAAACGAAGATAAAGATTCTGAAGGAATCTTAGCGTCGATTTCCTGGAAGAGAATTTTCAGCATAGTTTCCAAGCAGAGTCATATAAGATCTTGAAGAAGAAGCGACTAAAAGGAATAGTTTCGTTTTAAGAACTGCAAGACCAAAGCTCCAACAATAATAAGTTGACTAGGGAAGGAAGAAAAAGAAGCTGATATGGAGAAAATGAAAGTTTAAACAAAAGGAAATTGAAGGATTTAGAAGTATAGATAAAAGAAAAAATATGGATTGATGAAGGAAGGAAGCGAGAAATGGAGGTTAAAGAAAAGCCAGATTTGGTTTTCAGAGCAGCAAAAGCAAGGAAGATCTAATGAAAGCAAAAGCTAGCGGTGTCGGTACAAATATAGAAAAAAACAAAAAAGAAAGGAGAAAGAGAGGAGGCTATTACTATAGCTAGAAGTCTAAATATATGCATTTAAAATTTATTTAATAACTTTATTTTATCATTAAAATTTATTTTTTACACTATCTTTTAACTAATTTGATTTTAAAAAATATTGAACCGCATAAATATCGATTTAAACTTTAACTATCATTTATTATAATCAATTATCATGATTACTATTTATTGATAAAAAAAAATTCAACTACAACGATTCATCCTCTTAATTTGAATAAAAAACAGCGGTCAATAAAAAAAATGAATATTGATCAATATTTTTTATAGGAAAAAGATGATCGTAAGAAAGAGAATAGATCATATATAGATGGTAGAAGTTATGATCTTTTCTATACCTTGATCGAAAGATATTTTTAGTCATAATAACTAATATTTATCAGTTACAGTATAATTATAATTATTTATAGACGAATGAATTAAACAAATATAACAGTAAAATCTTAGATATTATGTTGTAGTTTATTTAAAAGTTTTTGTCCAAACAATATCTCTTTTGTCCAAACAATATCTCTTTAGACTTGAAGATTCTAACTAATGAAATATATGTCCAAAAATAGCTACTAACAAAGAATTAATAATTTTCAGAATTTAGCTCCTTATTTTGTTCTTCCTTTGTTGCATCGTAAACTTAAGGCGTCTCGCCTCTTCTCAATTTTTTTAAAAAAAATTAGAATTTAATCTTTAGAGGTATAATAATATTTAAATTTAATTTTTTTCACGAATCAAGAGACTTCAATTTGAACATCAAGAATATCATAGATGTGAGCGTTCAATATTAAATGGTTGAAAGTTATCTTTAAACATATACGATTTTGAGATTTTAAAATTTAATCCTTGCATATATTTGTTATGATTGGCGGACTTTTTATTCATCAAAAGTAATATGCCATCTTACCTTTTAAAAAATATTTATTTTTGTTTCATATATACAATTAAACATTTTTAAAATTTATATTTAATATACATAAAATGTAAAAGTATAATTTTAAAGTTAATCGTTCTGTTTTCTGAAAATTAGGAAGTTAAGCCCTTTAATTTTTTTTTAAATCTGTTCTTATACATTTTGAAAACTAAAACATTAATACAATTTTTAATAAATAGTTTACTTGAACGGTTAAATTAAATTTTGTTAATTTCATTTGTAAATCTGAATTCGTAAAATAATTTTCTTATTTGAAAAACGTTATAAAATTCAAATATTTCACTCCTTCACTAAACTGAAATGAAATAAATATATTTTTTAATATATATTTAAATAATTTTTAATTTGAAATATATTGAGATTTATTTTGAATTGTTTACAGATGGGTGGGTTGGAAAACCCGTGATTTGCACCTGAAATCTGCGGTATCTGATTCCTTTCTTTCTTCCTTTGTTTTTCACCTTTTCAGCCATCAATTCGATCGGATAAAGAAGCGCCGCCTTTCTCCATTTTTAGCTTTCCATCTTCGCCGCTCATTTGTTCACACCCTACCAATAGTCAAAACCAACCAAATTTTGAATTCATCGCTTTAAAGTTTAATCACGTTAAATATTAAGTTTCTTTCAATATTAAATTATTACTAAAAATTTCTATATACTTTAGTAATATGATATTTAATATAAAATTTCAATTTTTTTTATAAAAAATATCACATATGTAGCGGATGATTATTTCTTATTATAATTACATGTATTAATTTTGCTTATCTGATTATTTTAAGGTACCATACAAATTTATTACAAAACAAAGGCGCATTCATATAAAGGGAGAATTTATTTCTCACAAAAATAATTTTAAAAGAATGGGATAAAATCATGATGGGTGGGAAATTGAAATTTTGATGCTCTTAGAATTCGAACCCCGGTCAATTAGGTTTTTATAAGCATACCACCTATAGGTATTTTTAATTAGTATATTTATAAGCATATTAATCATTTTAATTATTCACCGTAACTAATAATTATTAGATATAATATAATTATAATTATTAATAGACGAACGAGCTAAATATAATTATAATTATTAATCAATCAGAGGTGTGATTGTTCAATATTAAATGGTTGAGAGTTATCTTTAAACATATACAATTTTATACTTACCACATATTAATAAAAATACTTTAACTTTTTAAATCATCTTATTTTGATATTTTAAAATTTGATATTATTTTAAAATTCAATCCTTACATATATTTTTGTTATGATTGGCGGACATTTTATTCATCAAAATTAATATGCCATATTACCTTTTTAAAAATATTTATTTTTGTTTCATATATACAATTAAACATTTTTAAAAATTATATTAAATATACATAAAATGTAAAAGTATAATTTTAAAGTTCATCATTCTATTTTATGAAAACTAGGAAGGAAAGCCCTTTAATTTTTTTTAAAATCGGTTCTTATACATTGAGGGTTAAATTATTCTAAGAAAAGGAATAAATGTCAAAACAACTATATGATCAAATAATTATACATTGAGGGTGAAAAATATTATTAATGTTTGATTAAATAATTATTTTAGTATTTATTTTTTAGTATTTTAATCTTAATATTGAATTTGAGATAAGAAATTTATTTTTGGATAAAAATTGTTTGTTAATAAATAATTAACATTAAAAAAATAAAAGTTCTTTTAGCCCAAAATAAAACATTGAGAGTTAAATTATTCTAAGAAAAGGAATAAAGATCAAAATAACTATATGATCAAATATTAATGATCTTTTTCTTATAAAACAAAATATTGATGATCAAAATATTATGAAAAGGAATAGAGATTAAAATGATTATTTTGAGAATATTAAGTTTAATTTTTACATTATAACAAATAAAATAAGACAAAAGTCAAGTATTTGTTATAATAAAATATTACCTTTGTTGATATTGAGACAGTACGGTGCCCGACAGTTTGTTCCCGTGACTCATGGGTTGACTGGTGCTGAATTTGATTATAAAGAAGGCAATTATAGAAAGAAAATCAAAGATGTGGCTGATTCTTGGAGGATGACTTTTAGGACTAAAGTAATTGGAGCGGATGTTATCTTGACGCCTGATTATGAAGCCTGGAGAATCAGGAGGGTAAATGATAAAATACCTTTAACATCTGGAGAGGGATCAAGGTCGATAGAAGAACAAATCAGAAATATCCATTCGAATTTGGAAATCCAAAGAATTGAGTTTGAAATGGAAAAGGCTAAAGATTCCAATAAAATAGAAGAGATGGAGAGAGAAAACTTCATGTTGACTATCGAGGCTGATTTTCATGCCAGACAGTTTATAATGATGAGAGAACGGAAAGAGGAGGTGGAAGCCGATTTAGAAGACTTAAAAAATGATTATCAAAGGGTGCAGCAAATGAGAAAGAGACTTGGATCCAGAGAATTAGCGGCTGCAAGACGGCGAATCAAAAGTCTGAAAATTGAGAACAAGTGTCAGATCAAGAAGATAGAAGCTGGAAAAGCAAAAGTATGCGAGCTAGAGGCCGATAAAAAGGAATTGATCAAGCAGTATAAAGCTGAGGCTCGTAGAGCTCAAAAACTCCATGAAGAAAAAGAAGTCAGCCTGAAGGAATTAGAAGAAGAAAAAAATCAAGTCCAGGGGTTAAAAACTGAGATGAACAGTATAATTGAGGACTTTGAGGACAAAGATCGAAGAATTTTAGAGCTCGAAGAAGAAAGAAAGCGAAAGAAAGAAGAGATGTGGTCTGAGAGACAGGGATGGAATCGAATCCTCGATAGAAAGCAGGCAGAGATTGGATCGTGGATGCAGAGATTCTCTACAAAAAGTCAGCAAGTAGATGAGCTCACGGGAGAAATGGGAGAATTACAGATGAGATTCGAACAGGAGATGAACCAATCTCGAGCTATGAATGATGAGCTCAAAAGTCATGTATCGAACCTTGAGCAATCCCTTCTGCAAGTGCAAGTTCCTCCCGCTTCAATGGACCTAAGAGTTGCTCTCGAAGAAAACAAATCTTTCCAGAAGGAAATCAGAGAATTGAAAGGTGAACTCCAGAAATGTCGAATTCATATTACCAATCTAGAAAAAGAAATCAAATGCATCAATAAGGGATGGAAAAATACATATGAGCATTATCGATCCTTGGTAGAAGAACGCGAGCGCATGATGGGGGAAGCTATTGCTCAAGTGGGTGAAGTGGCTCGGTACATGAACGAATTAGCCAATAGAGCGGAGAACATCCAACTGCGCACAAATCCGGTTTCTGAATATACAAGGGAGATCATCGCCATTATGAATGAAATTGTAGATCTGAGTCTGAGGGCTAGGCCTTATATGTAAAAGAACTTCTTTGTAATGAGTGAAACTTTTTATCCAATGAAAGTATTTCCGAATGGTTACTGCTTGGGTCAACGCCTTTTATTTGCATTTCATACTTGCATCATTCATTATGCATAAGTAAATTCATCATTTATAATGCATCACCAATAAAATGTATCATTTATAGCACATTACCAATAATATGCATTCGAATTTAAAAGAACAATAAATTAACTTCCGAAGGGTTATGTGACAGACGATTCTGGCAAGTAAAAACTCCAATCCTTATCACACGCGAAGTAGAGCCATGGATGCCAAGCTTGATCAATTAAAGAAAGAAATGCAAGAAGATTTACTAAGAATACAACAAGAATGGCAGGCAAAGATGGATCAGTCACAAAAGTCAATTATAGATCAAATCCTGCAAAGCCAGGCTAATATGATGAAGGAGATGATGACCAAGATGTCTGGGTTACGTACTGAAACAGTTAAAGAACCAAGCACTGCCCCTGTTGAAGTTTCTAGGCAGGAGTCTACCCCGAGAATAGTTATCTCACCTGAAAAGCTAGTTGAGCATCCTGCAGGGTCTTCAGCGGTAAAGGT